AATTTTCTATTAATGTTATTAATCTTTCTGATGAAGGATCAGGCAGGGAAATAATGTTTTTAATCGTATCATTTAAAATAAATAGAAATTTCCTTCATAGGTTAACGAATTCGATGAAAATTCGTTTCTTTTTTTCTTTACAGGTGCCTATAGCAAATACCCAGACGATTTTGTACCGCGGAAGAAAAACTCGATAGACATAAGATTATTTGAGGAATTGACCGCGTCGAAAGATCTCACGAAAATATCCCCCAGAGACTTCCGGAAAATCTCCTCGCCGAGCTTCCATAAAATGTCATTCGACAAAGCCGGAAGCGAACGTAGAATCGAGAGAATGGGTCAGCGGAAAGCCAGCCTCGAGTTCAGGAAAAGTCCCGATTTCCGCAGGGGTGACTACAGGTAACATTGCCGATTATTTGATCATTCTATAACACGTTCCACGTCGCACAAATTTCTAAATATCTTAATATCTACATGTTCCGCGATGCGGAACGTGTTCACTTTGCCTTGGATTAAAAAAAAAAAAAATAGAGAGAGAATGAGAATTCTAAACTATTTGATGTATTTATCTTAGAAAATTGTCGGTAGACAGATTCACTGGTGATTTCGCCAAGTATCTGTCTGACGAGGAAATGAGATCAAGGGCGAACAGCGGTGAAAATCTAAGGCGACAACGACAAGCGAAACTGCATCATTCTAGGTCGGACGATAATAAGAGAGCGTCTTTCGAGAAGCAGCAGAAAGACGCGCAATCGAGCAGGCACTCTTTGAATACGCAAGCGGTCATCGAGACCGGTGAATCCGAATTCAAATATTTCACGACCGTGTCCCTCGACACTGAAGAAAGTCGGGCGGACAATTCAGACGATAGCCACGCGATCGATATCGACGAACCGATCGTCACGAACGTGTCGTCCGAAGGGCCGGCTGAAGTTGATGCCTTACTCGAGGAACCTGAGCTAGAAAATGCCTCGGAGATTGAAACCTCCAGGGACGAATTGGACGAGACTGAAACGTGCACTGAAGTTACAATAAAAACAAAGAAGTCCAACGATCGAGTGTCGATGAAACAGGGGCAAAGGGCAAATAATATTCGTCGTAACGATGCGAAAAATAATGAGACTACTACTTTGTACGTAGAGGACGACGAAGTTTGAAGGAACGATCGTCTCTCCGTTAACGAACAAAAAAAAGTAAAAGTTAATTGAACGAAGCTGCGGAATCGGACGATTCGAAAGAGAAGCTTTTAGCGACAGATTAAAAACGAGAAATCTAAAAGGCTGATAAGAAAATTTGTGCACGAATGAATCCTCGATTTTTGAGTGAGACTAGGTTTGCAGTTTTTTTTCACGTTAAGTACCACGTTTGGTAAAGTATTGAGAAATAATTGATGAATTTGTTGTAAAAAAGGTTGATACAGTCACTTGTTATTTGATAACGTATCCTTTAGAGAGCTAAATATTTATAATATTCGATATGTAACGTAAGTTCAATGAAACATTGCGCAAGTTATATAAAAGATACAGCCACGTTTAGATAAGATAGACTCGCGTTAGTTTCACGTGGCAGTTTGTTGCGGTTGTATTTTTACGCGTAACTTAGGAATAAGTACTGTCTATTAAAAAATTATAATTTCTTTTTTCTTCCTTTAAAGATCAAAATACTTTGCCTAATATCTTTGCCCAATGAATTCTCTCTGAATCTTGTGTCAGTTTACGGTACTTTCTTCGCTACTTCTACTTTATTTCATAATGATTCATTGCGTCATTAAACGTTCTCGATTTTCGATTATGATATTACGAAACACGGTAACGCGCGATGTGTGCTCAATGATCTCAAAACATAGTATAAGTGAAGCTAACACGGCTCTTCGCGGAGATTTTTGTATTCTGTTGCAAGACAATCGTTTTCAAAAGAACGTTATTTCCATTAGAAAAGAATCACGATGAAGATAAAAAATTTGCCGCAGTGATGACAAATAATGAATATACACCCTCTCATGTGATCGATCAATCTGTACAAAATTAACATTTATAACGAAGATACGTAGAAGTTATATTGAAATTATGAAACATATTTCTGCCGGGAATAATCATAGAAACCCTGTACATTGTACATGAACAATTTCGTCAATATCGTCACGGTACGTATATAAAAAGAAAGCGGAACGACAATGACAAACTGCAAGGCGAAATTGTTGAAAATTATTCACGCTACTTCAAATTTTGAGAATATCTCGAAAGCCTTTCAACTTGCTTTCAGAATATTTAACGTACGTGTATCTCAAATACTACAAACAAATTGTTGATATGTATTTGCAGTGATACTCAAGATTTTACTACAAAATGTATTTTCCAATTTTTAACACTTACAATATATCATATTACCATTCCTTATTCCAGAGTTATGCTATTAAATGACTGCTACAAAAAAAAAAAAAATATATATATATATATACACACATATGTATATTTAAAAAAATGTGTTGTTTTAAACGTTTTTTCTCAAATTGAAACAATAAAAATTTCCCGTGCTAAGAAAAATCATTGTAATTACGCGTATAGCACGGTTTTGTCATATCACATTAAACTCAATTTAAATGCATATGACGTACGATGTAACATTTACATATTACAGACGTTGAAATGTCTCTAGCAAAATATATCTAGTAAAAGTGCAGTAATTCAAAACAAAAAAAAAAAAAAAAAAAAAAAAAAAA